TGAGGTCTCCATGCAACTTTCTCTTCTCCAGAAGGAAGCCAAGAAATAGGATACAAAAATGAAATCTTTTTCTACACAAGGTGCACAAAGCAGAACATAAACCTCTCAGATATAACAAAATCTCTTTACTTTGATTATCATCTGATACTGCTGGATCCTGTTTATGGGTTTTTCCAGGTAGTGCTGCAGTGGTGGGATAAGTGGCTGTGAAGGATCTTCATTAGTGACAAATTCATCTGTGTATCTCTGAAAAAAATATGTAGAAGAATGAGGAAAGTTTGTTATAAAGAACAGTAGAAAAAATTGCTCACTGGAAAATGCTCATGTGGATGTGGGGTGAGTGTGAACATGTGCATTTGTTTTCTAGCAAGCATCAAACTGGAGTAGTTGGTGAGTAGGAGGCTCACAGAGAGGATAAGAGTACTCAGGATCTGGGGTTGAGTATCAGATGGACAGAGGGGCCATGCTTGCTACTCAAGAGATCCACAACCACTCCTATGCTCATGGACCTGGAGTTGTGTTTGTGTTTTCACTAGTGAACTTCAATCCTGAGCAGCTGGAGCAGAGAAATAGGATTTGCTTATCAATACTTATGATTTATGTGACTTCACTTGGTCTTATAATATGGTGACCCTTAAAACATCCCTTCATTACAATTCTATAATCACAGACACATTCATATCTGTATAATCTTCATAATATTCACAAATGTGTAAGTATATATAACTATGTTCCCACATTGATTGTAAGTACCAGGAAGAGTTAGACTGTGAACACATTATTATTATATTTAGCAAAGATCTCCTACAAAAATTATTAATAACCCTCTTGAGGATCACAATTGTGATTAACAACTACATTTCTCAATGCAGTGGGTTATAGGATGCACATTCCATAGGTACTTTGACTACTGCTTTACCTTGTAGAAATCCTGTACTGCTTTGCTGACAACAATTGACTCTGCCTGTACCCTTCCCACCAGGTACTGGATGTACTTATTAAACTCTGCTTCATGCTTGATAAAGCACATGGCCACATCATCATCAGTGTCACAGTTCTGCAGGCTTTGGAGGAAGACACTGTGGAGACAAAGTAAAAAGGACATCTGAGGAGAAGGTGATGGAATGAGGCTAAACACAGTTCCAGCAGCCAGACTTTTAAATCAGGAAATGTCAGGTTAATACAGACTAAAACAAATGACTGAAGGAAATGAGGGATGTTGCCATATTAGCATTTAACTTCTCAGTGTCTCTTCATCCAACAGAATGCTGTCCCCCTTAGCTTGAATGTATGTGTAGGGACTTTTTGCAAGAGCATGGAGTGATAGGACAAGGGAGAATGGCTTTAAACTGAAAGAGTGGAGGTTTAGATTAGATGTTAGGAAGAAATTCTTCACTATGAGAGTGGTGAGGCACTGGCACAGGTTTCCCAGAGTAGCTGTGGCTG